CACGGACCTTGAAGAAGTTTGATTCCATCTGGGTTATTGTGGACCGGCTGACCAAGTCCGCTCATTTCATACCTGTGTGTACCACTTATTCATCGGAGCGGTTGGCGGAGATCTATATCAGGGAGATCGTCTGGTTGCATGGTATTCAAGTTTCTATCATCTCAGACAGAGGTACTCAATTTACATCGCGGTTCTGGAGGGCTGTGCAGCAGGAGTTAGGCACTCGGGTGGAGTTGAGCACAGCATTTCACCCCCAGACGGACGGACAGTCCGAGCACACTATTCAGATTCTTGAGGACATGCTCCTTGCGTGCGTGATTGAGTTTGGAGGGTCTTGGGATCATTTCTTGCCATTGGCGGAGTTTGCTTATAACAACAGTTATCAGTCCAGCATTCAGATGGCGCCGTATGAGGCTTTATATGGCAGGAGGTGTAGATCTCCGGTGGGTTGGTTTGAGCCGGGTGAGGCCAGGCTATTGGGTACAGAGATGGTTCAGGATGCATTGGAGAAGGTCAACGTGATTCAGGACAGACTCCGTACAGCCCAGTCTAGNCCAACATCATAGAAACCAACAAGAAAACCATCCAAATCAGAATTAGACCATTTCTTGAGTCAAATACTCCAGACATTATAGCAACATTCAATAACTCAAAGTTGCAGCTTGACCTGTGATCCAACCTATACTGATATAAAAATTGAAAATTTAGAGAAGAGCCCATATGTTCAACAACAACAACAACAACAATAAATCCAGTGTGATCCCACAAGTGGGGTCTGGGGAGGGTAATGTGTATGCAGACTTTACCCCACCTTGAAGGTAGAGAAGCTGTTTCCCATAGACCCTCGATTCAGTAAAAGCATAGAAGAGCCCATATGTTCAATCATGAAGAAAAAGCTTATGATCCAGCTATTTAGAAAGTAACCCTGAATAGACTAGTGCCAGATGTAGCATATAGCCCACAGGTTCAACTGCACCTAGTAATTTTTTACAGTGGAGCATAGATATATACGTGAAAGAAACACTAATTTTTTTCTAAATGTTCAAATTTTGAGCTCAGAATTGGTTCAACGGCAAAATTACAAAAGGTTGAGTCTATTAGTTTTAAATTTTGAATCGGCCTCTAGATAAGACAACCTATAACAAACCAAAACAAGGTCCAGTAAAAAAGGCAACCGGACGCACTAAGCTTCCGCTATGCGCGGGTCCGCGGAAGGGCCGGACCACAAAGGTCTATTATACGCAGACTTACCCTGCATTTCTGCAAGAGGCTGTTTCCTGGTCATATGACAGCAACTTTACCAGTTACGTCAAGGCTCCCCTTTCAAAACAAGGTCCAGTCCAAATAAATATCAAAATATTGATGAATTAACCATTTCAAAGAACTCCAAAAATTCAGAACTGCCCACAAACTCCACCAATTAATGAATAAGCCAATATGCTAGATTGACAAGTCAACTATATAAAGAAAATTCATGGAAAGATCAAAGCTTTTAGCATTACCTCTAGGCTTCTGTGCATCACTTGTTCAAAATGCTAGAGACCCAACATCCCAGAAGAGCAAAGACAACTAAGATTGTCAAGTGATTCCTTTTGATGATGATACAGAAAAAACCATGGAATCTTGAAATGGGAATTTTAAAGCAAAGATTCTTATATATAAAAACTACAAGCTCCTACTTTTTTCCAAGAATGGAGGGGATCTTCCCATCTATATGCAAGATTTATGAAATGGGAAAAAGGGTAAAAAGATTCAAACTTTATGTATGAAACAAGCGAGAAAAAAAAGGCATGGAAAAAATCTAATGTAATGTTTCTACTAATACCCTGTACTTTAGTACTTATTATATATAGTTTACGTTGACTGTCCCTCTATCTCAATCATTTTGCATCTATATATATATATTGAAAGAGTTGATTAACTGACAACTTTTTAGGCATTTCCTATTCACTTCTCCAGAAAAATATTCATTTCGACTTCTGAGATTAGGACATGTTCTTTGATTTTACTTGGTTCTTTTTGGTCCTTTCTTTTAAAGTTTAGGTACTTGGCCTGGACAAGAAAATTGTACCAAGAATCCTACGAAATCATACGAAATTTAAGGATTTCATAGCTGTTGTATTTTATGGTATTGTTATTTTAAACACAGTATTTGTTTTAATTGTTGCTTAAATTTTGTTGTATCGAAGAGTTCCAATTTATGGAATTAATTTGGTGTGATCGCATCATTGCCTTTCTTTTTTCTGCATCTTGCTCTTCCTCATTATTAAATAATCCAATTTTAATCTTTATCTTACCTTTTTTACATAATAGTTTTACCTCGTACTTTATTTTTTCTTGATAATATTGCAAGTTTGTTCGTCATGTTATTGGTGCATGACATTATGAAACAACGACAAACAATACAATTTATTCAAACATTGCATTATATCAAAATAACACAGTACAATACAATATAATACTATATGATACATTATGAAACGATACATAACAATCATCCAAACAAGCTGTAAACCAAGAAACTATTCAATGGATACAAGAATTACATTTGTACAATTCCGGAATTCCCATTAATTATTCTCTCTTATATTACCCAAATAAAGTAGGTAAACAACGATATTTGGAATTGCGACGTGAGTACCATTCTTCAGGGCGGATAGAGCTCATGTTTGATGAAATATATATTTAAAGAACAATTAATATTTTAACAAATATTAAATTTTGAATTTATAATTCTAATTGATTCGGTTATATAATTTTAAAATTGAACTCATCAAATTTAAATTATAAATCCGCCCTGTATTCCGCCCCCTTCTTACCATAAATAAGAAATCTAATCATCAGGGTCATGGCAAGGTGAAGTTTGCTTACGCTATTTTCATTCTTGGGTAAGGATATTTTGAAGATGAAATGTTACAACAAAACAATCAAAATCTCCATTTTGAATATCTTCAGTTTAACCCTTTGTACCACATTCAAAAAAAAAAAAAAAAAAAAAAAAAAAAAAAAAGTTCCATTTGTTTTTAATTCGACGTCATGTTAAAGCTCAATTTTGTCCTTAAATATTGCACTATCTTACTTAAGAAGTAATAAGGGTAAGGGCGTCATTTAGAGTAAATGGTTAGTAATAATTTTAGTCAACATGAACCACAATATATTTTTTTGTTTAATCTTTCGGATAATTAATAAGATAAGATATACCCAATGACTACGCCGACAATTTCATCATTAACGCGGATAGCACTCAATTTATTATTGCTAAATACATTTTCTTAGGAGGTTTGTACTAATTTTTTTTTTAGTTCAAGATAATGTGGTCCATTAAGTGCCAAAACGAAGGTGAATTATTAATTCCCATGCCTAAATATGGATAAAAAGGTATTGGTAATTTTATTCTCCTGTATGGGGTGAAAATCATTTACTCTCCCCAACTTTGTGTTAAAAATCAAACTCCCCCCTCAACTTTGAACAATAATCATTTTCCCCCCTTTATCCTACGCAATACCTTTTTTGCCCTTGAATTTTTAATTTCCACCTCAATTTCAATACTTTTTTATTATATGATTTTTTTTTTATGGTTTTAGCTATAACTTAAATTATGTAATACCTATTATAAATTGTAATTAGGGTTCATTAAAATTATAAGTAGAATAAGTAATTAGAGTCAATTAAAATTTAGCTTAATGATTGTTATTTTAATATAATGCATATTAAATATATATTTAAGCTATATTTTCTTAGCGACGGAGCTAGAAATTCATATAAGAGGATTGAAAAACATCCCAACTTTTTTTTTTCCGGATTGAACTTGTGAACTAAGATAACTTGGGGTGTTTTTCAATCCTCTTATATGAAAAACTCGGATTGAACTTGTGAGCTAAGAAATTAATGAACTCTATTCTCTTAGCTCACAAATTTTAATTTCTTAGCTCACAAGTTCAATTCGAGTTTTTCATATAAGAAGATTGAAAAACACCCCAAGTTATCTTAGCTCACAAGTTCAATCCTAAATAAAAAAAATTGAGGTGTTTTTCAATCCTCTTATATGAATTTCTAGCTCCGTCGCTAAGAAACTATAACTTAAATATATATTTAATATGCATTACATTAAATAACAATCATAAAGATAAGGTAATTTTAATTGACTCTGATTACTTATTATACTTATAATTTTAATGAACTCTACAAATTTATAATAGATATTACATAATTTAAGTTATAACTAAAATCATAAAAAATATCATATAATAAAAATGTATTGAATTGAGGAGGAAATTGAAAATTCAAGGGCAAAAAAGGTATTGTGTAGGATAAAGGGGGGAGAATGATTATTGTTCAAAGTTGAGGGGAGAGTTTAATTTTTAACACAAAGTTGGAGAGGGTAAATGATTTTCACCCCTTAATAATTATGATCCTTGACTTCCTTCCCATAAAAAGTTCTGACTATTTGTATTTGTACGAGTTAAGACGAATGAATTATATATATCTTTAGTAAAATAATATTTTTAGCTCTATCTCTATAAATTCATACAAAGTCGGTTAGGAAAAAAAACTACTCCATATAGCAAAAATCAGCTGCTAATTAGAGAAAATATCTACTGATCAATTTTCCGGATCTAATGGATTATTTGAAATTTAGATGAAATCTTAGGGAAAAATAACTTTCACCAATTTCCTTGAATTATTAAACGGCGTTTGGATTTGAAAGCAGATTGAAAGAGGAAAAATATGGTAATTTATTACAGTAATAACCATGATCCTTGAGACCTTGACCTCTCCTTCCCATAAATAATTGTAAATATTTTCCTCAGTCCTACGAGAGAGACCACTTTCCTTTTGTTTTCACTCGGATCTAATAAAAGCATTGCAGGTTTATAAAAAAGGAAAAGTTTCTATATAAATCCTCCATCTATCTCTTTATATATTTGGACCAAAGATATTCTCCAGTTGTGTTCTCGTTCTTGATTTTGAGCGTATAGTAAATTAAGAGAAAATTATCAATGGCCAGGAACTGCACGTTGTGTGGTCTCAGTGGGCATAACCAAAGAACGTGTAGTGAGAAAGGCAAGAGCATCAAATTATTCGGTGTGAAGATCTCTACTACTACATCTAAAAAAGATTCAGCAAATAATTATGGGAGAAAAATCAAGAAAGCAATTCCATGGACTGAAGAGGAACATAGATTATTCTTGAAGGGGTTGGAAATTTATGGGAAAAGCAATTGGGCAAAGATTAGTAAAGATTTGTTGCCTAATAGAACACATATTCAAATTGCTAGCCATGCTCAAAAGTATTTTATGAGATTGACTGCTGCTTCCAATGAGAGAAAAAATCGTAAGAAAACAAGTATTTTCGACGTTCATCTTGAAGAAATGATTTCAGAAGAAGAGACTAGTAATGTTTCTGAACATACAATTCAAGAACATGCACAAGAAACTGGTGGAAATATTCCAACAAGTCAAGTGCCATGTGAACGTGCCATTGTTCCATTGGAGATTATTAAAGAACATGCTCAAGATCACCAAGAAACTACTGCAATTAGCTCTGAGAGAAATCATAGTTATAATTTCTTCATTATTCCGTGTTTTATGCCGGTGTTGAATTTACCTGTATTCCATAGTTTTGCAATTAACTAAAAATCAAGGATAGTTATAGTGGAGTAATATTTTTGTATATTTAATTTGTCAGTCCCACCTTTTTGTACCTTTTTACATACGAAAATAGAATAAGGCTAGAACTGTTATCAAATAATAAAAGAAAAAGAAGAGTATTAAAGAGAAAAGTAGAGAGAGAGAATTCTTATTGATTTGAGATGAATTACAATGGAATAGAACCCTCTATTTATAGGGAGATAGTGACTTAGCCATCAAGTAATAAACCCTATAATCTCTCTAAATATAGACATTCACCATAAATACAATTCTATTTATAACACTCCCCCTTGAATGTCTATTTAATAGATAATGTGTCTCGTTAAAATCTTAGCTAAATAAAACACAGTGGGAAAAAAATTCTAGAGAAGGAAAAAGAGTACACATATCTAACAATACGCCTTTTGGTTGCCTCGTTAAAAACCTTGCAAGGAAAACCCAGTGGACAAAACCTTGTAAGGGAAAAAGAGTACAACGCGTATTAAATCCCCCTGATGAGAGCATCAATTCTCATCCTTAAGCATTTGCATTCCAGTCTTGTGCACCATCTTCAAAAGATCTTTGGTAGAGATTTGATAAACAAATCAGCCATATTAACTTGAATGAATATATTGCACCTTAAAATCATCATTCTTGATAGAGATGAATTGTCTTCATATGATCATGTTGGAATCATCATTTCAATATCTTCACATAGGGGTGAAACCTCTTGCTATCATATTATCATGCATATAGTTATAGCAAGATACATTTGTGCACAAATTGCACTAAGGAAGTGGTACTTCATGACCATGAATTTATATGCTTTAAGCAATTTAAATCCTTCAGGGATTGTTAAGTCATATAAGTCATATAATAGACTTTAGATGCATATCAGGTTTTCATGTCATGCTAGACATATAAGATATCGAAAACTGATTGCACATACCATTGACTTTATACTTTCAAGTGTTTGAACTACATGTTCAAAACTACATGTCTTTCATATGAAACCAATTCTATTCAAATTGTTTCTTCAGACTTAAGATCCTCATATATTATATATATATATATATATATATATATATTTAGCGCTATCATAGATGTCGTCGACAAACATTTTATATCAGTTTCAATATTTTTTCATAAAGACATAACATAGAGATCTCTTTATTGATATTTTCAGGTACCTGAATCTCTCTTGAGATTTTATGAAGTGTTATGTCAAGTGATCTTCTAGATTACTTGCCTCATTTATTATGATCATTTTTATCATTTGCTCATCTTCTTTATCAAGAAGTTTATTTGAAACCGATTTGTCTATATGCTTTAAGCGTACTATAGACTTTGTCCTTCTAGGACTTATTCTAATAGGAGCATTTGCAATGAGAATATAGTTACTTTCTTTGGGTCAGCAAATGCGTCTGGCATGCTTTGCAATAAATTGCACATGAATTATCCTTTTATGAACTTCAAGTTCATATTATTTTATTCGGTGATCTAGATGTATAAATGATAATTCATTCCATGTAACTTTTTCTCAACTGTTGTATCTTGTCTCCCCCTCATGTTAGAAAAACTAACTTGTTTCCTCAACTTTGAGAACCCATCTTTGTGCGTTATGGTGTTAATCAAAATATACACCGCACATCAATAATAATGAGATAGAATTATTTGGTTCCTGACCCTGAAACCACTTGTGAGGGGAGAATGTAATATACTTTCGTATATAACCTATATCAAACTGATATAGATAACTTTGTTCTCATAAGCAATAGTTTAGCTATTAACTGGAGGCACTCAATAAATCATTTTGCTAAACCAACTGTGATGTAAACCAACTTATCAAGAAGAACTATCTTGAATAAAAAATCTGGAAATTATGCTCTATATTAAATTATTGAGCAAGTTACCTCGCAAACACCGGCCAGGTTGCAGGTTAATAATAATCGCACATGTAACCATCTCATAGATGCATCTTATGTGGTATACATGGCAGGTGAATGGGCCCATATTCACCTTTGATATTTCCAGCATTCATGGGATTCAATCCCAATTTTAATTGGTCTGTTAATTAATGAGAACAAGCAATGTAAGAGAATTCATAAAGAACTTTCTAGTTCTTTAATATTTACCCATGTGAATTCTCTTTTATTTTTGCACATCATACTTGAATTAACATGGCTAAACCAATTATGCCAAGGATAAATTATCAATATTGATAAACTTCAGGTTTACACAATGATGTGTGCAATTATGAATAAACTCCAAGTTTATTGTGATATGGGTTTTTATATCAATAATATCCACTTCATTGTGGTATTCTTTTGTTTATGTAGTACAAATTGGAGAATAAAGCGGGTAGCTTTTCACATACATATTACCCCTCTACAAGTTGTAGTAATAGAAGATATTAAATCTTTCCTTTATTTATAGTCTCAATATAATCAACCGCGTTCGCGTATACTTTGGAAACTGAATAAGTTTCTTTGAGACTTACTACAACACAATACCTTATTGATAATTAATTGTGTTTCTCCAAAATAGTATAATTGGCTCTTGTAGAGTTCTCAATTAATTTTGTAGTACCACATATTCATCAACACCCATATGGTGAATATCTCTTTTAAAGAGAAAGTTATACCATTATGGTTATGGTCAAAATTATATGCAAGATCTGTTTCTTGTATTACCGTTGTCTTTTAACAATCACAATGCCAAAATATTTTGGTGTACAATAGGTACGTGACCAATGACCATTCATGCCATAATAATGACTTTATTTTCTTATATCATCTCAAACCTCCTTTTAGAGGTGAGTGCGGTATATTCACTATCACTAGCACATTCATATTCTTTGAAGAATGAATATGTATTCATAAATCAGATTTTGTCACATTCACATCATGAATGGACCATAATCATCTATATGTGCTTTACAAAATCTCATGTCAAATCGATGACAAATATTTTTCACAGAGTGAAAGATTATTTTGAGAATCCTTATTGTTCTCATTACCACAAATGCTGACGATTATAATTTCGTCTATTGCCACGTCCATATCCATTGATACATTCATAGTAATTTTGTATTCTTTCAGACTTATCACATACTGCTATCACATTCTCTTAAGGGAATGAGAATGGAGCAAATTCAATGGGACGGGTTTTCAATTCTTTGCGCACAATCATACATGAATTTGATCATGGCGAGGCATAGAAGTTTTACCACTTCAAGTGGTTATAATTTCTTAGAAACTCCATTAGAGTTATAATCAAACTTTGTTGTCTTTGCTTGTATTTAAAATCAAAGTATAGAATAAAAGAGAAAAATACGGTAAAATACTTACCTTAAATCCAGAATTTAATCATGAAGGAAGTTCATGGAATAATTGACAATCATTATGCTTAATCCCAAAGCTTCTACTCAATTGGTTAGAGTCTCGTGCTGAAAACGTGTTATAAAACAATAAATGAAGAACAAGAGTATTGTAGAGAAAAGTAGAGAGAGAGAATTCTTATTGATTTGAGATGAATTACAATGGAATAGAACCCTCTATTTATAGGGAAATAGTGACTTAGCCACCAAGTAATAAACCCTAGAATCTCTCTAAATATAGACATTCACCATAAATACAATTCTATTTATAACAAAACTTCATTTCTTGAATTGTTAAAAGAGAATTGGCTTTTCCTTGGATAATTGTTCCCTATGGCTGTCCAACGGGACGGGACGACCCGTCCCGTCCCGCGTCCCGTCCCGGTCCCGTCCCGTCCCGCTTCAAGTTAAATGGGATGGGCCAATGTTAAACGGGACACGGGATGGGACGGGACGGCCATTTCGTCCCGTTCCGTTTCGTCCCGTTTCGTCCGGTCCGGTCCGGTCCCGTCCCGCGTCCCGTCCCGCATCCCGCCAGTATTTTTTTTTAAAAAAAAAACTAGCCGTTGGGCAACGGCTTAAATGGAAAAAATAGCCGTTGCCAACGGTCCAAACAGCCCCTACACCCCCCAAACACNAAAAAGAAGGTTAAAACTTTTTTAAATTTGAAATGTGAAATTGTTGTTTAAGTATGATAAGAAATGACATACATGTGAATAAGGCCACATAACTTAAGTCTAATAGATAAAAATAATAAAAATAAAAATAAATTAGAAATAATGGGACAATATTTATACTAAGTATTACTTTAGAAAACAAAATAAAGCAAGTATACAATACTTAAAAATATTATTGATAAATATAAATAACTAAAAAAATTCGAACAATAGTTTAAAAATAAAATAAATATTTTTTATAATATTAAATAGTTACAGATATATTTATATTTATATTAAAAATAGTATTTGACATGAATATTAAATAAAGTGTAAAGTTAATAAAAAAAGTACACGAAAACATGATAATATTACATATTAGATAGCATTATAGCAAAAGTAAGAAAAACTAAGGAAAAGACTATTTGAACTCGAGATTAGAAAGTTCTTAAAGTTATGATGAGAACGCTCAAAATATGGAAATGATCACAAAAATTCATGTTTTGCTAGATAAAGAAAAATAAAAATTTGATACCAAATTAAAAAATTTAATATACTAAATAAATATCTCATATAGAACTAATGAAAATTAAAAGCTAAATTTTTTTCTTGAAACTAAAAGACAAAGAAAATTTAATTGCACGTAATACAAAATAATTATAAAACAGTTCAATAGATTTGAAACAATAAAAGAACTTATGTATTACTTTTTAGACTAATTTAAAAGTTGTATTTTTAAATAAAACGTGATATTATATGAGTATCAGCCAAAAAAATGTGTAAAAAGCTAATTAAAATTTCTTAGTAGGGAAGATAATGTATAAAGAGAAAAATAAAGATAGTGCAATGACACTTATATTTTAAATTTATTTAGAATATATGATTTAAATTATTAAATAATACTCAAAAATATTATTGATAATTTTGAATAATGAAAGAGTTCCGAGTAAGAGAAAGATGGTATAAGAATA